TTTGGTAATGTGAATGACAGTAAATAAATCTTTGTGGAAGTGTAGACTTATTCCTGAGAGATCCCAAATTTATGCTAATGCAAAGGATTAAGTAGGTCAGTTAGGAGTATATTCCATTTTTTCCTCCCTTCCCAATAATCTCAAATAACCAAATTGGTTTGCAAACACCTTTTACCAGATGTTGAATCTTGCTTGAAAAGCTCTTGATCAGGGCAGGTTGGATTACAGGCTTATCCTCTGCACTGGTGCTGCTGCTTAAGCATCTTATGTACCGAGAGGTTTGAACATCAAAGACAGGGCACCCGATGTCTGCATTTCACTTTATCTTTAAGTTGGTAATTAAGGGCCAGAGTGTAGTGAAAATGGTTTTTGAAAAGTCACTTCATCTTTATGTGGGGTTAATTGCATTAATGCTCACAGCTTGACAGACTTGGTTCATGACAGGAATTTAAAAAAATTAAGTTGTAGGGGATATGCAGCTTCAGCATTGTCTGAGAAAGTTCTAATTCCAAAGTAATCCTGTTGTTCATGCCATGAAACCTCCTATAAAACAGCACCTTTGAGCAGCTTTTAAATTTATTTTCAAAGACAATGTAATCATGTGCTGTTGGCTTCTAACTTGAGCAAAGTGGGGAAGATTTTGATGAAAATCTGCACACAGACTTGTACAGAACAGACAGACACGTCTGGGTGAAGCAGGGTGAGGTGGGACTGGTGGGAATTCAAGGACAGGGTGGTACCACGTGCTTTTGTATCCTAGTATGGACCTCAGCAATGCCTATCATTGCCCTGAGCCCACCCCAGGGTATTGGAGCTCGAGGGTTTGAGCCCTTGGAGTTGAGGTAACAGCAGATGTCAATAGTGATGTGTGCCATCAAACAGAACTGTCTCTCATAACCTTGTGAGGGCGCTTGATATTTTATATTTTTCTCTTTCCTGAACTTTACTGCTTGTGCTGCAGAATATGACGAATATGGGTTGCAGTCGTGTAGTCACTGTGAGTACAAATTATGGATTAAAGCATGTTTTAGAGCATGGGTCAGGACAGACATCTGCTGGCCCATAGAATTAGGCATTTTGTGTGTCTGTACAATAAACTCAGTTTTTATAGTTGAAGGTTCAGAGACCGAAAATGATCAAAGCTTTAATTTCATTAGCTATCACTAGGGACTGTGTGTGTGTATTTCCTTTTCTGTATGTCTAATCAAAAGTCTTATCTAGGAGCAATGTTGCTTTGTAGATTTTAAAAAAGATTGATGGTCTTGTCCTCTGGCCTCACAGGTAGATGAATTCTTCATTCATGTGAACTTCGTATGAGTGACTTTGAAAACAGAAGCAGCGATTCAGCTAAGCCTCATTCTGTTCATTTTGGCACAGAAGATAACATGCAAGGAAGCCTGACAATCCACTTGGGATCATCTTTTCCTATTATGTTGGTAGCAGACCTTTGTTCTTTTTAATACTCATTATTCTGGACCTACAGTCAATAACATAAGGAAAAGCGTGAATCTGCCACACATCAAGTTTTCCGTCGCCTTTTAAAGTGACATTCTCCTCAGATCCCTGTGGTGTAGGCTTATTCCTTATCAGAAATGAATGCTGTGTTGTTCACATGACTGTACATCAAACAGATCTGCAGTAGCTGCCTGTTGTGTTCCCTTGACAGTGGTACATATATCTACAAAGACCTTCTCTGAGATCTCTCTCTTCCCCTCTTTTCCTTATGGAATAGATATCTGGGTACTACAGCCTCTGAAAACCACATGGGTATCTATGCTACTGACTTTCCCTTGCTGAATTTTGTGATCTCTGTTCTGACTCTGAGGAGCTTGGCTATTATTTAGGTATTTCAAATTAACTCACTTGCAACCAGGTTCTGAAAGTGGAAGTCAATAAAAGATTGATGTGAATAGGTAATTCATCAGCTGCATTATAACCCCCAGCTCACCAACCAAAATTACCCTAAATTGCATTTAGCTACTCTTTGCATCATAAGCTTTCTTTGCTCTTTTTTTGTTCTGTGGGTGTTCAGTGCCATCCAGGTTCAAGGGACAGTGCACTCATGTACTTGGGTCAGCTGAGAAGGCGAAGTCCAGATGGCATTTGATTCATATCTTTCATCACCTACATCACCTGCTGAAGGGATGACAAGATGGGTGAAGTTCCTATTCATGAGACTGGACTTTAAATCCATGTTCCCAAAGTAAGTGTGGGAAAATGGCTCTTGCTTTGCTCAAGCCTACACATGAAGCTGTAACTTTACTATACTGAGGAGGGAAGGCTTGAGTACACATGGCTCTACCTTCTGAGGTGGAGCCATCTGAGGCCATCACTCAGGTTCACAGTAACTTGTGAAGCATAAAGAATAATTGTGCAGAACATATAGGTTCAATTTAAAGATACCATGAATCATAGACCAATTGAAAACAAACAAACAACAACAAACATGAAAAAAACCACACAAACAAAAAAAATGCTCAAGAAATCCCTTGTGCTCTCTTAGAGGGGGAAAAACCTCACCATCCTTATTTTTCAATCTAGTTGGGTGATGGGGAGGAAAAAAAAGGCAAAACAAAAAGGCACTGAGGTCTGCAGGCACAGTGCAGAAGCACGTAAACTTTTCCTAGTGGGTTGGTTGGATTTTCCTGGCGCGGGACAGGGGACTGTTCCCTGCCCTGTTTCTTTAGCTACAAAGCTCCTTTTCTTTCCTTTTTGAAATGCAACTTGAAAATTGGATTTTCTTTCCTTTTTTTTTTTTTTTTAATCTATGTTTAAATTTGGATATGACTTGACCACAGTGCACAGATGCCACTGGAGATCTCCCTGGCTGGTTCCTCTCCAAAGCAGTGTTTTGTGAGGGAATGGCAATCGCCCGCTGCCAAGCCTGGCGCTGGTACTGGGTTAGATTAGTGGAATAACCCTGTGGATATTTGTCACATCTCTCTCCCAGTGGAAGATGGAAATTTTTTCCATTTAGTACATTTGGTTGATGTCAAAGTCCTCTAAATAGAGAACAGCGTTGGGCAACACTGGAGGAGGAGGATTTGCTTGTGGCTACAGGCTCTAAGTAATTCCAAAAGGTGATAAAACCCTTAGGGTGGGAATATTGGTGCAGGATTTCATTGTAGAGCCCAAATCTTTACTTGTTTCTTATTATATGAAGCCATATCCTTCTGTGAACCAGGTCACTTTGTAACAGCCTCTAATAACATATGAAATATAGTTGTTGTTTTCCCCGTATGAAAGCAAGGCTCGGAGGGATTGAAACTCCCTGGCAACAGCATAGCCAAGGGATACCAGCACCTGAGAGGGGCAGAGCTGCTTTTGCTCTGTTCTGTGTGCAAGGAAAACGTGTGATCCTGGAGACACAGGTCCAAAGCCTGAATGAAATGGGCTTCCTTTCTGTCTGCAGAATTACATCACCCCAGCTACGACGCCGGAGCTCACTGTGCATGAGCATCGGCTCCTGCAGTACGGAGAAGGCTGATTAATAAGGAATGAAATGGGATTTGTGAATACTTGCACTGTGCTGCAGGCATGCAGGTGTCTTCCTCCCTTGAGGATCATTTGGGATAGGCAGGCAGTGCCCTTGGGGAAGCAGTGCCAGCAGTGCTGTGGGATTTACTTCTCCCATCCAGCCTCTATACAAGCTGTTCCTGCCCCTTTCCGATCATCTCGTTGCACAAGAGAGTTTACTCTTACATGTTTGTCTTGCTGATGTTTTTAGCCAAAAATCTGCTCTTTGAGTGGTTTCTTCAGCAAGGTGCTGATGGTGGCATGTGGGTTCCCCACGGCTTCTGTCCCAAAAAGCTTAGGAAGTGTCAGATCCTCTGAGGGAGTCTTAGAAAGAGTTAATCACCCTTTGACTTCCACCCTCCCTTAGCTTGTGCTAAGAAGGAGCTCACAAATGAAAGGTGCGGCTTGGCAGCATTAACAGTTTAAGCCCCAGAAGGGCAGGGTGCTGCTTAATTTTAAACCGACTAGAGGCAAGGCTGGAGTCTCTCGTGGGTTATTATTTCAGTGTTTATTTGCTGTGGGCTGTTTTCAGAGAGCTCAGCTAGAACATCCAGCCTTGTTTTTCTCATGCAGCAAGTGCTGTGTTAATGGAGTTGGTCTGAGCATAGAGCAACATCATCGCTTTAGCAGGTGTTGGGTGTTTAACCTGTACGGTGCAACAGCTGAGAGGGAAGTGTTGAACAGAGGTGGTTCTGAGCTGTGGGTATTTGCCACATTCTGAGCTTGAGGAGAAGTTACTGCTTCTGTGAGGTGGTGTGAGGGTGGTGAGGCTCTGCCACAGGAGCCCAGAGAAGTTGTGGCTGCCCCATCCTTTGAGGTGTTCAAAGCCAGGTCGGAGCAACCTGTTCTGGTGGAAGGTGTCCCTGGCCATGGCAGGGGGTTGGAAGGAGATGTTCTTAAAATACACCCTTCCAAGGTGTATTCTATGATTCTGTTTCTGCAGGACTATTCTGATCTCTTTTTATTCCCTATTCCTCCACTTGCTGGCTCCCAGAGGTGGTTTTTTTTTTTTGTTTGTTTTTTTTCAAGTAGGATTTCTAGTGTATAATTTGATCGTGGGCTCAGCTGGGAGAAAACGATGACAGCTTTGTTCCCTGCATGGCAGATAATGAGGTGTCGGAGGCAGATAGCGCCGGGTGTGTGTGCAGCGCCTGCCCAGCTCACTCAAGTGCGGCAGCGCTGAACGCCGGCGAGCGACTTCGCTCTCCTCCCACAGCGCCTGAACGGGGTTGCTGTCAGGGCATATGGCAAAAGGGTTAAAATTTAATTAGAAAACACAGTGGTAGCTACTGGGGCTTAACAGAGCTTTATATAAGCTGCTAAGAAGGACAAGGCTGCTGTGTGAGCTGCTGGTAGGGCTGAGCTACTGCAGCCGCTGGCTGGGCGTCAGGCGCCGGGGCATGCCTGGGAATCTGCCCAGGAAGCGCCGTGAAAGAGGAGTTTGTTTTAAGGCTTGACCCTGGCTCTGTGCAACACCCCTGCCCGCCGCCCGCCGTATAAAGCCAGGCTGCCGTCATGCCAGGCGTCTGAGCGAGGCAGCGGGAGCCAGCCGGGACGGGGGGGTTTGCTTTCTTGCTTTCCCGACGGAGCAGCTCATGGCTTCGGTGTTCATGTGCGGGGTGGAGGATCTGCTGTTCAGCGGGAGCCGCTTCGTGTGGACGGTGACGGTGGCAGCGCTCAGGCGATGGTACGCTGCCCGGCTGCGGGCGTGCCGGCAAGCCCTGCGAGCCTGGTGTGGCCTCCGGGATGTCTACCAGGTAAAAAAAAAACAAACCTAAAAAACCCACCCTGCTCATCGCCCCAGGTTTTGTTTGGAAGAGCATCGTGGCACCTGACGGGTGCGTGCTCGCTCTCCGGAGCGGTACCGCTGTGCGCACCCCGCGGTGAGGCGGGGACGGGATGGAGTGAAGAGCATGGAGGCAGAGCTGGGAAAGTGCTCAGCGGTGCCTCTCCTGGGTCTGAGCTAATGCCCTGAAGTCAAGGTTTGGGAGAGATATTTTTTTGTGCCAAATATGTTGTATAAGTCAGTTTATCTGAACGTGTTTCAGCAGCCAGCTGCCCCCTATTATCACAGCCCCTCGGAACCCCTCTGGCTGCTGTCACCATCCTTGCACTCGGATCTGGGGGACAGAGCTCAGCTCTGGCTGCCCTGCCATGGGGCACTGGGAGCACGATGCCCCCATGGGAGAGACTGGCTGTAGCTTTTTCTGCTGTGTTTGTGTCACTGAATAGTGACAGCTTGTAACGTGATAGTCTTTTGCATTGCAAAGCGGCTGCTGCCTGGGGGGGCTGCAATGAGTCCTGGAACAGCAGCTGGGGGGCTCCCCTTCCTGCAGGCAGGAAACACAACCCATACTTGCAGTGACTGTGGTGTCCAGTTGCAGTGCGGGTGGTGTCACTCTTTTTGGAGTCTGTTCTTGCTGGCAGTTGTTTATTGCTGTGTGTCTCTATATCTGTCTCACGTGTAAACTTGTGCTGCGTGCCGGGTCCCAGTGTCAGTGTGCGTGTTTGCTACGTTACTGGAATGTTTCAAAGCAGCTTCTTCCCTCCTCCTGCTGTGTTGCAATACAGAGAATGACACAGCTCGTAGCAAACAGACACAGCTCTCCAGAAGCATCAAGATGTAACTTCCATGGGAAAGTCATGCTAACAAGACATCTGTGCCTATTTAATCCTAAAGGGATCTGTTGCTGTTTAGCTTTAAGGTATGCTCAGGAGTGGGAGAACAGCTTTGCAGTCATAGAATTGCTTGCAAGTGCTGGAATGCATCGTGGCATTTTGTACAGATGATGGATGTAAGCACTTTGTGATGTATCTGACACGGGTGTCACTTCAGGAATATGCATCATGAGTAGTTAGGGAATGCAGGAGTCAAGGCATCATTGCTCCTCATTTGCCCATCTTTACTGAGCTGAAGGAATGTGGTGGGATGCAGTCCTGGTGCTCTGCTTTGCATAGGTGTTGTTTTTGGAGTCCACTCACATAAAGAGTGTGGAGCTCTGCCTCCGTGGGGATGCAGTGGAGAGCAGTCTAACTCCATCCCTCCAGGGCTGGAATAACGGCTTGGTGAGGACCAGCTCTGACAACAGCTGTATTCAGCCTGTTCAGCTGCCATTCTCTGATGGTTGGCCTGAAGTGAAAAGAGATGTTTCAGAAACAAAGTGTGACTGTCTCTCTGCCCAAAGTTACTGTGTCCTGGTTGCTGTTTGTAGGTTAATCTTGTCTTTGTGAAAAGCATCACTGACTTGTGCCTGTGTCCAAAAGTGAAAATGGGTAAAGAGATAGGAGGTTGGTCTTTCTGTCATCTTTCTAGGCAGACCTTGAGCCAGAGCAGTAGACAGGGAGTGCCTCTTCCCCTGTCCCCTCTACCCACAGCTTGTCAACTTCAAACTGCTGGGGACATGCAGGGACCTGTTGCTCCACACTCACTGCTCCAAGGGTCATCCCTGGGAGATGAAACCCAGCAGGAACAAGGCAACTCTCACGTTTTAACATCAGGAATTTCCTAGGGGTAATTTGGGGTCTATTAAAGTGAGATGGCTGAAAAGAATGCCCTGCAGCTCTTCCTCGCAGGGTTGCGTAACACTCTGCTTTTTGTGCCGGAGTCTTGGCCACTCAAACCTCTGGCTGAATCCAGTGCAGGACTGAGTACACAGCATTAAATGTCACCCAACTGTTTAGGAACCAGAGCCCTGCAAGAAGTTGAATCAAATATATTTTTTCAATGCTTTTTAGGCACTTTAGGCTATGGAAACAGATAGAGATTGTAGCTGGGTGACCTTTGTGTGTAAGGATGAACTCTGAGCTGTTCTGGGTTACACTTGTTCACCTCGGGCTCAGTGGAGCAATACAAGAGCAAAACATGCAGTGCAGAGCTCTCTGTGGGGTTGTTTCTCTGAGGAGGTGGATGTTGCAGCATCTCTGGGGCTCTGCTTTAATCTTGGGCATGAGACTGTATGTCCCATCATTACCATAGATCCTGCATTGTCTTGGGCAGACTGTCTTCCTCCTCTGTGCTCCTGTATAATGGGTATAACAGCACTATCCCACCCACCAGGGATGTTCTTTGTCCTCTCAGATATTTGCTAGAAGTCCTGTATTTAATGCAGCCACATGAAAGCACCTTTTTGTCCTGTGTTCTTATTGAAATTGATGCCTGGACAGGTGCTTAAACAACTCCTTTCCCAGCCTGGCTTCTTGGGGACTGCTTATATTTCTGTAACTCCTTTGCATTCGTATTCCAGATGTGAAAACACTGGTTTAATATACAGGCTCTTCTGACTAAAATTACACTTTTGCTCTCTCTGAGGACTCCCTGGGCTGCCTGTGTTGTAACTGATCAGGAAACAGGGCAGAACTTGGTCACTGAGCCACATTCAAGTGATGAGCAGGGAAGGGTGAGGTGACAGGTGCTTGTGCTACTGGTCAGCCCTGGAGACTACAGATGGCTTTGATATGTATTTGGAGTTCATGTTGTTTTGTGGGCACGTGGCTATTTTTGGGTGAGCTGGACACTGCTAGCAGGACTCTGTTTAATCATCAGTGCATTATTGTGGTGAAAGGAAAGCCAGCAGAATTCCTTCTCCCTGGGCTGTTACACTTGTTGTTCTGGTGAGGGGGGGTTTCTGGTATTTTTAAAATACTTCCTTTAGGCTCAGGGGGGACCTGAGCTTGAGTCCCAGCTGGAGAAGCCACTAACACCTTGGTGTGCCCGTGCAGGGCTCTCACCTCTGAAGCCGGCAGGTGCGGAGGTGGTCACGGGGCTGCACCGTCTGGGCAGGGGAGGCTGAAATCCTCTCTGCCACCATAAAGCCCTTACCTGCCTTAGCAGCTTTAAGTACAACTAAAACCCACCCCAACATTGACAAACCTGCCTCTGTCAGTCACTTTCTCCATACCCGTTGTGTTCCTGGCATGTGTGTGTGGGAAACACCTTCCAAGCTATTACCTGGTCACTGGTGCAGGGACTTCAGCTCCAGCCCAGCAAACCAAGCTCAGGCATTTCCCAGGTCCCTGCTCCAGGGTGCTTGGCATCATCTGTCCCACCTGCCAAAAGAGAAGGGGTGTCCTGTTTGCCCACAGCCTATTCATCTGGAGGAGCCTGTGAGCCAGAGCTCTGCTGGAGTGTCCTGTTTCACTCTGAAATAACCCCTGAACCCAAGCAAGGCTAGGGGACTGTACAGGATGTGAGTTTATCCTCAGAGAGCTTGGGTTGTGTGCCAGGGAACATTGTCTCGTCCATGGCAGGGAGCATTTGAAGCCTGTCCTAGAAATAACAGATTTGCAGAGACAACTGATGGAAAAGCTGGCACAAGTCTTCTGTCTAACAGCAGCAAGTCAATATGAGTTATTGGGGCTGTTAGGGCTTGGAAAAAATCCTGGGTGAGAACTCAGCATAAAGCCTTCACACAAGGATTCCCATTTCCTGCCAGAGAAAGGAGTTAGGGCTGTGTTTTGTTGTGGAGCTGTGGCCTGCAGCTGGGCTTTTGGGGTCTTCCCAGAGTCCCTCTTGATGTCCAAGATGGGATAGCATGGCATTTCTAGGTGTCCTGATGCTCTCCCAAAAGAAAGCTTTCTGCAGGGCTCTCTGCATGCTGGTTTTATAGGCCACCTGTCTTAGATTTAATTATAGAGCAGTAAAACAAAGTGAAACTTTTATATGAATGAGGTTAATAAACAGTGGCAAAGCCAAAAAACTTTGAGGATCAACATCTATCCCATGTTTAGTCAACTGTATTACCACTAGCCTGATTTTCATTGGGATGTCAATGCTAACAGATTTTGGTGCAAGTCTTCCCCTGGTGTATCAGTGCCAGTTTCCACCTATACATCCCACATCAGAATGATTACTCATTATGTTCTAAGCATGAATGAAACTTTGCATCAAAGTCTATATGCAACTAACTCTACAAAATAAAAAACTGGTCAAGTGAATGCTTTAGTGTCAGGGTTAAATGTGTGTCAGTCAGTCTGCTCTCTGCAAAGTGGAAGAGAAACCAGGCTAACTGCCCCCAGACTCCCTGCAGAATACAATGGCATGCTGTGATTGATCTGCTGGACGTGAAATCAAGTATGAGAGCATCTCTGTGATTAAGCAGTTTACAAATAACTGTGATTCCCAGTTACACTGGGAATTTGGCTAATAAATTCTGGTGTAAAAGTGTAAACTTTTCATGTGGGTCTTTCGGACAAAGTGCTTTTTAACCTCTGAAAGGTCACTTCCGCTGTGTGAAGTGAAAAAATTTTGCTGATGAAGCACAATAAATCAGCTCTGTACGTGTGTCTGGCCCGTAAGTACCTGGGGTGGAGGAGCGAGAGAGGAAGAGGCTGACGACTTCTGTTTCCTCTGGTGCTAACGTAGTTGGTTTGGATAGTGAGCACCACGTTTCCTCTGCTACCACACCTTAACTTTTCATTATAAAAAACGCTGACATGAAGTTGAAGTGCCTTTTCCTTTTCACAGTGATACAAAGCAGCGCTGGAGCAGTGAGGGGGAGCGTGGAGTGGGGGCTGCATTGTCAGGGCAGAGCTTTCCTTCTTCCCCTCCAGACAGACCCCACGAGTGATGCTCAGCAGAGACATCTCAGGTGTCCTAATGGGTCAGGACTTTCCAGAGGGAGCTTGAAGTCCTTTTTAGAGGACACTGAATATGTGCCTGTGTCCCTCCAACGATTTAAACTTGCGCACTGGGGATTACCGGTTGCCCTGGAAAAGCTTTACTCTGCCTGCTTTCATCCAGATGTTTTTCTTTTTGAAA